AGAGGGATCTGACAATTGGAATTAATATGCGTGGAGCTTTCCCTCTCCATTTGTTGGCTGAGGTTTTCCAGGCAACTTTATCAGGGGTAACATTATCGAGAGCTTTGCCGAGAGCTTCTTCATCATGCTCACATCCGAGTCTGCCCAACACTTGTCACTGTCAATCACAAGGTGATAATACACAGATGATTCTCTCATTTGGTTTAATAAAATCTCCAGGCTTATTTGAACTGCAGTCATTACAGCAAATAATTGCTGCATTGAGGTTTTAGCCAGGCCATAGCCTCAGGGATAAGAAAATACTATTGCTATATGAAGGATCTGGCTGGTGTTTTTTAACCTTTACTCCCCAGTTGTTCATATTTCTAAAATGAATATTACATTTGAATCTAGATTTGGCTTTCTTTATTCAAACTAACATTGTTATTACATATTATCTGGACATGGAGTCATCTTTTTTCACTTTTTTATGTCTGTGCTGTCAAGACAGGTTTCACCAGGGACTGCCAATTGTAATTCTTTACTGTCATTTAAACCAAATTGTAGATCTGAATCAGTGGGGCTAAAATTCTCTGAAGAAATGGACTGACAGAAGGGAACATATTTCATCTTAAATTTGAATTCTGATGCCAGCTGAAAGTGTATAGCGGGAAAATGCTGCTGAAACCACAAAATATAAACCTTTCAGACAGAAACAATCAGACAATAAAATATTCCATTGCATCATTGATATACATGAGAAATACAAAAAAGAAGCTGATGCTGATATGATGCTTCCTATTCAAATGCATGCGCTAGATTTGCTGTGAAATACGCCTCAGCCATACTGTCAATGGCCTCAGCACTTGTCAGCACAGTGGGATTTATTTGCATCTTTACTTACATTTCAATTTAAATAAAAATTGAAGAGTAAGTCAGAGTAAAAAACTTTTATTTATTTTTTTTTACATGCAGTTGCAATCAAATTTCTAATATAAAAAATCCAGCTCCAATGGGTCACATATTCAATTAGTTAATCCAATCTCCTCTCTTTAATTACATTCATTAGTATATTTGTTTGACCAAACAAGGTCACAATAGTTGATTAGATAAAGAATCAATGGCAAAGACAAAAAACTCATTACAAAAGCAATGGTGTGGATATTTGCATCCTTGTTTGTGTCTGACAGTTTATCTCAATGTCGATGAAGGCAAAGCAGGCATAAACTTATTTGTTTTGAGGTGGTCTTTGATTTGTACGTGTCAAAAGAGTTGTGGTGACCTTGCATTGTTGGCTTCCCCAATAAAGAAGCAGGACACTAATTACCTTTGTCAGTGAAGTGTACTTGGGACAATATACAATCAGATAACAATAATGGAGTCAATAATTTGTATTTACTCTGAAACTTGGACAATGTCATTTCTCCCAATTAATGCAATCACCCAAGCATTAAATTAGTTTTTTTTCTCACCCAGAAAAATAATTAGGGGTAATTGTTAGGAAATCAATCAATCAGTAGAATGAACTGCCAATGAAGCGTGGTCAACTCAAAACTAAAGAAACGTGTGACACAGATGGCTTGGATGTGTCTTACCCTCAAGGGACTTTTGCTGTGCAGTACACCGAAACATTAAAATTAAGGCAATAGAAAAGTGTATATTATTTTCATGTTTAGCAAAGTGCCCTGAAGTACCTTTGGAGGAGTCTTTGTTAAATTCTGTGAAAACGGAACAGATAATGTATAGGTTGAAAAGACACAAGAAATACATTCAACGGATACAGTAGACTGACATTGCAGAAAGCTCCTTTTAACCTTTGGAGGGCACATGATCTGGAAGAAAAAAATATTCATATTATTTTACAATGATAACTAACTGATTAACAATAATGTCTACAAGAAAGTATAGTTATTTAAAGGACCAGTGTGTCAGATTCAGTGGCACCTAGTGGTGTAGTTGTTGATTGCAGCACTCTTGGCTCACCCTCCTTATTCATACCTATGAATATCCTATTGTATTCAATTCCAGCCAATAGATCCTCCTAAATGTCACACACTGGATCTTTAAGACATATCTGTTTAACAAATGTTAAAGATAATCAGTCTCCTAAGAGCCTTTTTTTACAACAAAGTTTAACATGGTGTGTTTTAATCTGTGGCTCTACTTACAATATCCATTCAACAGTAAACGGAGCCCATACAGATGATAAAAGGTGGGTAGGAAGAGTTCTTGTTAAATGAGCCTTTATAAGATATGACCCTGTAAATCAGTAAACGTATATTCTTCTTTTTGTTTACTAAACAGTAACGGAGCAACAGTAGGCTGCTTACTGTTGGATTGACAACAACAACAAGCCCTCAGCCACTTTATCTCAGTCAAGTATGCTTTCCTTTTCACGTGACAGACGCGCCAGCAAATCAACTGCGAGTATGTTAATCACGTAGACCAATGAGAATCCAGACTCTTACACCGAAACGCCCCTAATTAAGTTAGATTGAACTCCGGTTGCTGTGTCTGTCAAATTATTTAGCTAGCTAGCCACCGTTAGCTCGTTAGCTGGGCTGACCCGCAGGAATGGAGAGCAGCTGAGCACTTTCTGTGGAAATTAAACCGCGACACACATTAACATCTCTGTCACAGGGGTTTGTACAGCTCTCCAGCAAATACGGTGAGTTACATCACTAATGTTTCCTACGTGCAAGGGCTCAAATGAAAGAAACAGTCAGGCTGTTAGCAACGCCAAATGTAGCATTGTAAGCTAATGTTACAGACAACGATACTGTACGTGAGGCAAGGAAACACGGTGAAACAACGTCAGCCTGTGGACATGAACATCGACCAGTCTAACGCATCCAAAGGTTATTAAGTCACCTTCCCAGCTGTCAGCTGAAACTGCATCAGTTTCTACCGACGTTACTCCCATTACGTTTGCTAACGCGACGTTAGCACTGTAACCTCGGGCTGTGGCGGATAACAGCAGCTGACTCCATATATATAAATATCAAAGTTTAAAACGCGGGCGCTGTTTACGACCCTCTTCATTAGTCACACAGCAGACTTTGTGAACGTCGACCACAGTACCACGGTTCACATAACATAACATACTTCATGAAACAGCCGAGTTAGCCCGAAGCTCTCCCAAACAATCCCTCATTTTAGATTAGCCTACTCTGTTAACGTTTCTCACTTTGTCCTCTGTCAGCACTTAACGACGTTTTACTGCTAACTGTGAAGTTGCAACCACACATAAGGTAGCTGTATTATTAGCTGGATGGTATTAGATCAGCATTATTGTGTGTATGTTTACAGGTTGTTTGTGTGCGTGGTTCATCTCGACTGAGGCAGCAGTTGTTTTGTGTGTTTGTTTGTGTGTGTGTGTTTGTTTGTGTGTGTTGTTTTTTTCCATCACAGCAGCGGATGGCCCCGACAGCACTTGTCGTGGGACCTACATAGAGAGAGAGGGACACCGGTCTGAACCTCTGAATGAGTAATGAACCTAAACCCCTTCTGGAGCATGTCTGCCAATACAAGTCGTAAGGTAAAGTTAAACACCCTGAACTGTAACAGAACACACAGTAAACACACAGGAAACACTTAAAATAAACATAAAACAGGGCTGTAAAGAGATTACTAGGGGAAAATAACCTCATGTATGTGTCACCAACACTGTAAACATTAAGGTTGTGTGTATTATTATTATTATTATTATTATTATTATTATTATTATTATTGTGTGCGTTTTAGAAATCATCATTAAAAAATTGAGAAAGCTAGGCTCATTTTTCAGTTCAATACTTTGCTCTGTTTTTTTTTTTTTTACCTCCAGTCTTCTTTTTGTCAGAGGTCTTAAATCATGCACCTGTTCCCACTTGTATTCAATTTCCTAGGAATCTTGTTAAACTGGAACTTTTAATACTCTTGTACAGGGTGTGGTCTCATACTCATTTTTGGAAAAGTCATTCACAAGTATAAATGTGTGACTGAATTTGACGGCTAATCTTTCCACCGGTCTTTCTCAGTGTAGGATACATGTAAACATTACTTGTGTCAGTAGTTTAGTATGGTTGGCCAGTGCTTGACTGAATTTCCACCAACAAAGGGGAGGGGAGGTAAACTGTAGCATGCTGGTGCAGCCTTGGTGAGGTAAGTAGGAGACAAACAGTGTACCTTGAGCATGGGTGTGACTTAATCTTTTCCTGCCTAGTCAGAGGAACATTTCAAAAACATTCTGCAGTCAAGTCTGACTGACTGTGCAGGCTAGATCTGTCGCATTAGGGCACCATTCACTGCAGACATTCCAGACATAGTTGTACTAGTCGTCAGCAGGGTTTTTGTTGCAGCCTGCTGCTGTGTACAGTGACACTGTACTGTAACTGTTATCATTATGAACAGCATCAGTAAGATGCAGTGATAAGTCTGCTTGAATGTGCTTGCTTTTGTCTCGACACTGCTTCCTGATGAGCTGCAAAACAGATGGGCAGTGTAACTTGAGTTGGAGGCAGCACATGGTCACTACCCTGGGCCGTGGGTCTAAGCTTGAGTGTGCATAATGGCCCATAAACTGTAGCCTTCTCGTATCTGGCTCTCAAGAGTTACCGTCGGCCTGCTTTTTTCACATAGCTATTTAAAAAATATATTTTTGAGATTCCTGTTACGGTTCTCGTACTAAACAGCAGAGATCTGACAACGAGGAACAGAGCGGGCACGGGGAGCAGAGATCCAGCCCAGCCCGGCTTTCATTTGGCAAAAAGCAGCTTCCGCCGATTCCGAAGAATGCAGCCCCCATTACCAAGCCTGCATCAACGGGGACCCCAACCCAGTCGGCCAATGGCACACATGCCTCCTATGGTCCCTTTTACTTAGAGTACTCTCTGCTGGCTGAATTGTAAGTATTTGTCCACTATAAGAATTAAAAGCTCAGTTTATTTGTTGTTCTTCTTTTAAAGGGGAACTTGGCAACTTTTTCAGCTTAATAAACCCGTTTAGAAATCATTTGGATGGTTAAATGGCCTGTTCCGGTGAAAATGGTGACCCCCCCACCCCCCTCGGGCGAAAACATGCGGATGATCAAAACTGAAAAACCAGCGAAGAAATGGCTAGAGTTGCCACC